ATTTAAAATACATTCATTCCTCTATTGATACCTTTTCTGGTGCTCTTTTTGCATCTGCCCATTCAGGGAAAACAGCTTACGATGTCTCTAGACACTTCACTGCTGCTTTTGCCATTCTTGGTATACATCTGAAGTGAAGACAGGCAATGGCCCAGTTTATATTTCCCGTCGAGTTGCTAACTCTTTTGCCTTCTGGGGAATTATGCACAAAACAGGTATTGCTCATTCCCCAACAGGCCAATCTGTCATGGGCTCATGGCTCCCTCAAACATCTCTTGGTACAACAGAAAGGGGGGCCAGAGATGGCAACCCTGCCAAGAGACTGCAGAAAGCCCTTTATGTGATCAACTTTTTGAATTGTTCTTTGATGGACCCCAACCCACCGATTGTTCCACATTTTAATCATGATTCACAATTGCAACAAAAGGAAAGAAACCCCTGCATTAGTGAAGGATCCAGAATCTGGTAAGATATTGGGGCCTTATCCTTAGGCCACCTGGGGTAGAGGTTTTGCTTGTGTCTCCACAGAGAATGGTCCCGAGTGGATTCCAGCAAAGAATGTGAAGCCGTTTTTAAGAATCTTTGAGTGCATCACCTGAAGATTCACCTTGAACACCAACATTGGCGGAGAACCCTTGTGAATAGGACCTCACCACCACACCAGCGCCTGTTTAACCTCTAACAGACTTATGTCCTTGGGAAAATGGTTAAGGTTACCCAGTGGTATCAGGGTTTACAGGGCTAGGAAAACTTCTGGGGGATTGGAGACTTGGTGGATGGATAAAACATTTAGTTAAAATAGGCTTCTATGTATTAGGCATTGTATTATGTATTGTTATGGTTATTCCTTGTATTTTACAGTGCGTGAAAAAATTAATAGACAAGTCACTTAAGAGTGTATTTTTGTTTGAATGGATAGGGGGAGGTATGGGGAATAAAACAAAAAGTACAGTGGAACTGATGAAGGGGCCTGATATCTTAGGCCTGATTGAGCAGAAACTGTGGGAGGGACAGACACAGATTAAGGCTCCCTGGGCAAGAGGGGACCAAGAAACAAGATGTGAAACTTAGTAACTTAGTGATGAGATAATGTTACCAGGTGACCTGATGTCCTCAAGAATGTGTAACCAATGGGAAATTGTTACAAAAAATGGAGCCCTATATAACTACCATACAAGTAAAACCCCATATAAATCCCTGGCATACTCAATAAAATTGGCTTCTGATCTAAACTCAGATGTCCCCGTCTCTCCATCATCATTAACCCCCCTAGGTGGGGGGAAGATGTTGGAGAGATTCCTTTCCCTTCTCTTTGTCCTGATGTGATTTGGTCGGTACATAAATTCACTCCCTGTGCCCAGGCTGGGTCTGTTCTCCCTGTGCCAGTGCTCGGGGTGGGATCTCTCCCATTCCTTCTCTCAACTCCCAGGCCTCTCCACAGGCAACAAGAGAATGCAATGAACAAGAATCAGCCAATCAGAGAGAGCAGTTCTGATGACTCACCAGTTGCTGGGCAGACCCACAGCACCCAGTGTTCCCTGGACCCCACCCTCCCTCCTCAGTCACACCCCAATCCTCCCTGCACAATCACAGGAGGTCCCAGTCAGGTGCAAGGCCACGGGAAGGGGCTGCAGCTGCCACTGGCTCAGGAGCTCTGAGGGCAGAAAAAAGGGGGTGACACCGGGATGGGGGACACTGGCAGGACTTCCCTTAATGGTGCCTCCATTTGTGTTGGCCCAAGTGAGAGCTTCTGGAGAATCTCTTCCCACACACAGGACACTCATTGGGCCTCTCCCCAGTGTGGATGTGCCTGTGGGTGACGAGGGTGGAGTTGCGCCTGAAGCCCTTCCCGCAGTCGGGGCAGTGGAAGGGCCTCTCCTCTGTGTGAATCTGCTGATGTACTGAAGCCCGGACAGACAACTCTTCAACTAATTAAAGTTGAAAAGAAGGGTATTTTATCGCAGTGCTGGACATATAAGGAATCATTTCCAAATGGATGTGCAAGGAGTTGCAGACTCCTGCTTTCTATTTATACAGAAAAGGTTTTACATATCCAAGCGGTTTCTAAGGATGCATAATACATAATCATTATCTGCCCACTTTGTATTATAATCAGCTGAATACCTAATATGTCTGTGCAATTGCACTGCCTTAATTGGGTCTGTGGGATTTTGAAATAAGGGAGTGGGCGTATGTGAAGAAGAAAGCTCTCTTCCTCATGGTAAACTCTTCACCCATGGCGAGTTTGCAGGACTTTTTGATCTGCTGGTCATGGTCCAAGCCTCTCCAAACTGATTATTCTTAAGGCAAGATATTTCTATCGTCTCTGCTCCTCCACAATTGCTACATCTATCCCTGTCACTCCGAGCTTTACTTTCTAATATATTTGTTACTCTTTCACTAACCTATGTGATTTTTGCTTAGCTAACATACCTTCTTAACTAATTTTAAAATCTTAACTAAAATATGCAATCTTCTACTATCTCAGTTATACTCCCAGCTGGCCCCTTGACTCAACCACAGTTTTCAATTATCGTAAATACATTTCCAGCTGATCCCTTGACTCATTATGATGAGATTGGAGCTGCTCAGAAACCACTTCCTACACTCGGGACACTCATAGGTTCTCTCCCCAGTGTGGATCTTGCAGTGATTGATGAGGTTGGAGCTCCACCCAAAGCCCTTCCCACACTCCCCACACTTGTAGGGCCGTTTCCCCATGTGGATCACCTGGAGCCAGATCACATCTGAGCTCCAGAGCTCCGGCTGAAGCCCTTTCCACATTCCAAGCACTTGTGGGGTTTCTGCCAGCCATGAGTTGTCTCTACCACCTCTGAGTTCTGAATGAATCTCTGGCTGCCTTCTGGACACAGGGGGCATCTTTCCTCCTCACAGCTGCCAGGGCTGGGTTTGCAACCCCTCCTTGTGTGGGATCTCCAGGGCTTATCCTCCCCATTGGATTCCCATGCCATGGGGCTGCTCAAAACGGCCTCTCCCATGAGGTTCTGCAGCAGGGATTTGCTCTCCCTGGTCTCCGTCTGCAGCTCAGTGCCTGGGGAAGGAAAGGAAAGAAAAGAAGAGGAAGGAATGAGGAAGGAAGAAGGACAGAATGAGAAGGGGAAGGAGCTGTGGACAAGGACAGGATGGGATTTGCCTCTGTGCCAGAGGGAAGGGGAAGGGGATCCCCCCAGTTCATCCTTGGCAGGACGGCATTGGTAGCGGGGTTGTCCTGCAGCCAGAGGAAATGTTGGGCTGAGACATGAAACAGAGGAGAGGGAGAAAGGGGCAGTGACTTCCTCCTTGCCTGCCTCAGTGTCCCAGGCCATCTTCCTTTTCCTCGCAGCCTCCTCCAGCTCCATCCAGACAAAGATTGGGATTGATAAATCCTGGCTTGGGGGAAAAACAACAGGTGAGGCCCTTGGTCCTGCTTCCCAAGTCCAGCTTAAAAAGTAACCGCCCTGTTCACAGTTGGATGGGCCCAGACCCTGCTCATCTCCAGCCTCCCCCACCCCTCCAGGCTGACAGGATCCCCCAGCTCCAGGATTGGCCTTCGTTGCTCTCCCCACTCTGATGCCAATCAGAGTCCCAACACCAATGTCCCCCCCAGCTGGTACCACTGCCCCAGCCAGTACAGACAGTTTGCCACAGGAACCTTCCACAGTTCTCCAAAGGGGCATCTGTGTCTCACCCTTGGGGCCCTGCAAGATCCAAACATCCCCTCCCCTGAAACAAACCCTCCCAGAGATCCTCCAATGGATTTGGGGTGAGTTCCCCCTCCCTACTCACCTGTGAGATCTGGGGGGATAGATGCTGCCAGGGCCAGGGGAGCTGCAGACTCAGCGGGCAAGTGGGAAAACAGCGTGGTTCTGCTGTGGCTCCTCCTCTTTCTATTCTTCTTCCTGCTCTTCCTTTTCCCATCCTCCGCTTCTTCTCTCCCTCCTCTTCCTATTGCTCCTCCTCTGTGCCCAATCCAGATCCTCCTTTCACACCCTTCTCTCTCCCATGGCTGCAGCATTTGGGTGGAGGGAACCCGGGAAAGCCCCGTGAGCCCCCCAGGGATGGGCAGGGGGCTTGGGAATCCACCCAGTGCAGATCCATTCCCCTCCAGAGCCCCAGGGAATCACTCCAGGGATCAAGCGATGGGGACACAGTGGGATCCCCACGGAACCACCCTTTTTCTATCCCATCCCCAACTTTCCCTCCCCTCTCCTATCGTTCCCCCAACCCAAGGACCCCTCCCAACTCAATCTGGGGATCCCATCCCTCTCCCACTCTGAATCCTCTTTTTCCCTGCACTCCCACCCCTTTCCCATCGTGCCTTCAGCTCCACCTCTCGTCCCTATTTGGTTTTGGGGGATGCAGGTCCCTCCTGCTCAGTCTGGGGGGTCACATCCCCCCTTTCCCTCAATTCATGCATCTCCTGGCTGCTTTTTCCTGGGAGCAATCCCTCAGTTTTGGGACTTTTGGGGTGTAGTTTAAGAGTGTGACAGCTCTGTCTGGCTTTCCCCTCCCTGTTGTGGCCTCTCAGCTGCCCCTGACACCCTGGGGGGGCTGGGATTTTCTTCCTGGGGACAAGGATGTTCATCCCCTTCCAGGAGCCCAATGCCCGGCTGGGGCTCCAGTTCAGGGGGTCCTTGAGCAACTGCCCCAGAACCTCCCCCATGGTCTCCCAGCACAGCCAGAGCCACTTGGCCTGGGGTCTCCAAAGGCCTCAGCAAGCCCCAAATCCCTCCCAGGAACCCTCAACTCCCTCCAACCCAGCATCCCCCACATCCCCTGCAAGTTCCCCCCATGGCACCAGCCATGGCTATGTCCCCACATGTCACTGCCCATGTCCCACCATGTCATCACCCATGGCTGTCTCCCCACCATGTTTCCATCCCTGTCATTGTTCCCCACATCTCCATCCATGCCTGTGTCCACCCACATCCCCATGAATGGCTATGTCCCCCTCCATGTCCATGTGTCCCCCAACTGGTTCAGGAAAAATAAAATGACTCTTTGAAGAAAAGTGGAAAAAACTGTTTATTACACAATAAAACCTAAACAATATTAAACAATAAAACCTCTTGCTGCTCTAAAAGAGAGACAAACTCACCAAGTCCCTCTGTGGGCTGTAGCTCAGCTCACTCAGTCCCTTATCAGTCCCTCTGGTGCTGGAAATGCCGCGGCCCAGGCCCGGCCTGGTGGGCCACAGGTGTGATCTGCCCATGCTCTTCTGGTGTTCAGGCCAGAGCAGGTTTAAACAGGTCCAAAGAAAAGGGAAAAAACCCCACAGTAGGGAACTACTTTGCCTCAGCTAGCTAAAACTAAGTAAAAGCAAAGGAGAGCTCTGTCCCGCTGTCTGTCCATCCGCAGACAACACAGTGCAGGAGCAGCAATGTGGAGGAGTGAGTGCAGTTTCTGAAAACAAACTCTGCATTTCTTCTCTCCCTCTTCACTCTCAGGAAAAGTCTTAAAGGTACTTTAAAGCTTTAAAGCATAAACAGAACAGACTGGGGATACAAACATCATATAGTCCACCCTGAACATACCTTCAACACCATTCAGTACTCCCTGATGTCACCAGAAGATAGGATTGAATGCAAAAGATTTTATGGGGTTGAAAGTCAACAAATCTGCCCTCCCCAAGGAATTCCCATTGTAGGTCTGTGTCCCAATGGATGTTCCTGCTGCTGGGTTTATCTAGCTACCCACAGGGAACCAGGAAGATGTGGAGCCTCCAAGCCAGGTGTCTTCCCAACACGGATCACCAGGACCATGGATCACCAGGGCTCTGCCCAACAACGCTCACTGGGGATCATCCAATGTAGATCGTCTCATGGGGGACAGAGCTGGAGCAGCACACAAAGCTCTTCCCTCACGTGGGGCACTCACAGGGCTTCCCTTAGTGGCGCCTCCGTTGGTGTTCTGTCAAGTGAGAGCTCTGTGAGAAGCTCATCCCACACTCCCCACACTCGTAGGGCCTCTCCCCAGTGTGGATGCGCTGGTGGATGGTGAGTTTGGCGTTTTGCTTGAAGCCCTTCCCACAGTCAGGGCAGCGGAAGGGCCTCTCCTCTGTGGGAATCCGCTCATGTTTGAGGAGATCGGAGCTCCTGTGAAACCTCTTCCCACACTCAGGACACTCGTAGGGCCTCTCCCCAGAGTGGGTGCGCTGGTGTTTTCTCAGGTCAGAGTTCCACCCATAGCTCTTCCCACATTCCAAGCAGGTGTAGGGCCATTCCCTCGTGTGGATGACCTGGTGCTGAATCAATGCTGAGCTTCCTCTGAAGCTCCTCCCACACTCCCCACACTCATAGGGCTTTTCCCCAGTGTGGATCCTCTGGTGTTGGATCAGGATGGAGTTGTGGCTGAAACTCCTCCCACACTCCCCACACTCAAAGGGCCTCTCCCCAGTGTGGATCACCTGGTGCTGCCTCAGGGTGGAGCTCCAGCTGAAACATTTCCCACATTCCAAGCACCTGTGTGGCTTCTCCCTGCCATGAGGCTTCTCCACCAGCTCCAAGCTCTGGCTGGATCACAGGATGCATTCCTGGCTCACAGGGGCTCTTTCCTCCCCAGAACTCCCTGGGCAGGGTTTGCAGCCCCTCTTCATGAGGTACATTTGGGGCTTTTCCTCCTCCTCCATCAGGCCACACCCTGAGAATTAAAAATCCTGGTTTGCAGAAAAAATCAAGAGGAGAGCAGCTTGGACTGGGAAAACCTCCATGCCCAAGTTCATCTGGGAAAGTCATTGGGCATCTTGTGTCTGAAAGAACCTCCAAAATACCATGATTCAGCACAAAAATCCTCTAAACATCAAGATGCAGATCAAAAACTTCCCAAACGTCAATATTCAGCAAAAACCTCCTTCAAAATACAGAGATTCAGCCCTCACAAAAAACAAAAGCACCGACATTTGCCCAGTAAAGCTCAGAAACCCCAAGATTCAGCCTCTGTGAAAATCATGGATTCCCCCTCCCCTGGTCACCTGCTGCATACGGACAAAGCTCCTGGGGCTGGGGGGGAGGCTGCAGATACAGGGAGGAGTAGAACCGTGTGGTGCCGCCTCTTTCTGCTCCTCCTCCTCCTCCTCTGTTCCTGCTCTTCCTCACACTCCTCTTCCTCCTGCTATTCCTCCTCCTGCACAATCCCACCTTCTCCTCCCACGTGCATCGTTTGATACTTTTGTTCCTCAACCCTGCTTCTCCTTCCCTTCTCCTCCTGCCCCAGGCCCAGCACCCGCTGCCGGCTCCCTCTTGCCCCCAAACCACAGCATCCCACGGCAGGGGCAGGGATGGAGCTGGGGCAGGTCGGGCTGGGGCAGCGCTGGGCTCTCGGCCGCTCCCGCCCGCACTCGGTCCCCACTGCAGCCGCTCCCACCAGGACAGCGCGGGGGGGCCCGGCCTTGGCGCTGCCCCACTCCCACCTCCCCAAATTCCACTCGCGGGGGGCGCTGGGGCCGAGGGGGGCGCTGGGCGCAGGTGGGGAACGCTGGGAGCTGCGGGTCTGCCTGGCAACTGCTGAGTCATCAGAGCCGCGTGCTCTGATTGGCTGAGCGCTGCCTGAGGGCTGGGGCTGCAGCAAGGGGGGACACACAGCTCCAGGGGGATATCCCACAAACGGGGGACCCCCATGAAAGGAAGAAGAGGAAAGTGTCTTTACAATCAGATGCTGTGAATCTGCTGAGAGATAGAGCCAGGAACTTGTACGTAAGGAAGCGACAGGAGAAGCCATCAGTTTAAGAAAATGTTGTTAACTGATGACACAGACTGCTGCTCAGCCAAGGTCCTGCCACATTCATGAACTTCGAGAAGAAGAACAACAAAGACTTCACAGAGCCATGAATATCGGTTGCTACACAAAAGTAGGGAGCATATCAAGGGGATATGTAGTAAGTGGATTGGGAAGTCTCTTCCTCTCAAGTACACCACCCAATGCGGAAAGGAAGAGGGAGATGCAGCTGGGAAAATTAGGATGAACAGGAGGCTGTGTCCTCCACCAACTGGAGAGACCCTGTAGGAAATGTCCCATGGCCTCTCCCTTTCTTTAGGAATGAAATTACTTTTACAGGACTCCTCTGTCTGCTTTGTGGACAGAATCCTCTGGTGATGTCAATTTTTCCACACACCTTGGGACTCGTCCGGAATTCTATCCACCGTCTGGGGCAGCGGGCAGTGAGTGCAGCTGAAGGTGCCTCACCCAGTTTGGGTGATCGGCCCCCTTGGGGGCGGCAGCACCGGGGACTGATTGGGTACCTGAGTGTGACCAGGAGACAGACGAGGGGCACATCAGGGGGGGCTGTGAAGAGTCAGCAGGGAGAGAGCACTGAAAATCTCATCAGTGAGTGCACTGGGATCTTTGGGGAGTGAGCATGGCAGGGCACCCATGGAGACAGAAAAGGGAAAGCCAGGAAGGGGTCCTGTGCCAAAGGGATGATGATCCCAAAATATCTCTGAAGGGTCCCTTGGGAGAAGGGTGAGGTAGATTGCACACTCCCTCAGAGGCAATTAAGGACTTGGACACCCAGGGGGGCAATAAGAGAAGTGGAGAAGGGATTTGGACAACAGGGGATGGATGGCATTGGTGTGCTGGGAAGAGACTGGGTGAAGGGGAGTGTGCAGGAATTTGGTTAAGGCAGGAAGCAGCAGGAGGAATCTATGTGGTGAGAAAAAGAAAAGGGGAGGAAGAGAAAAATACTCAGAATTTGGATGTTTTTCAGCAGAGTCTTATCCTCAACATTTGCCAGCTGATCATTTGTATCCCCGGTTTCCAGGAGAGGAAAACAAGGAGGTCAGGGTTTCAGGGGGTTTCTCTGTGGGGGGCAGCGGCAGCAGCGGGCGCAGAGGTGCGGGACCGGGAGCACGGGCTGGGGGCCTGGGGGGAGCTGCGGGGCCGGGCCGGGGCTGTGGGGCAGCCGGGGCTCAGCGCCGGGCGCTGCCTGACCCCACCAGCCCCGGGCAGGGCCGGCAGTGGCCCCCGGCCCCCAGGAGGCTGCGGGACGCCCCGGCCGCTGCCCGGCCCCGTGGAGCTGCCGGCCCTGCCCGCCGGGGGGGCGCCTTTGGACACTGCGGCAGGACAGGGACCGGCTCTGGGATACGGGCTGGGGAGGGCACCCTGAGCACAGGGACGAGGAGCAAGGAACATCTGGGAAATGTGGATTATACAAGGAAGGACTGAGATTTTCTTTTCTTTTCTTTTCTTGGGATCACCACAGAAACGAATGATTTTGCAGAAAGCTCAGCAGCTCTCAGAGGATGAGCACCCACAGGCACTGAGGGGGGCTGCAGGAGGGGCAGAAGAAGGCCCTGCAGCACTTGGGCACAAAGGCCCAGCAGGTGAATGCAAGAAGGAAGCAGAAAAAGGCCAGGCTGAAGGCAAAGGCCAAGGCAGAGTTCCTACAGCCCCTGAGGGATCAACCCCAGGGCCCAAGGGGGCCCCAGCACCCAGGGCACGGGCTCGGCCACAAGCACCCGGCAGAGGCATTGCCCTCCTCACAAGGGGACAGCCCACCCAAACAGCCCCTGGCAAGGAATCAGGGCTCCAGCTGCAGGGCACAAGGACACTGCAAGCACAGACAGCAGCACCCTCAGGACCAGCAAGTCCACCCCGTGATGGACATGGATTGGCAGGGCTGTCACAGCTCCCATCACACCAGGGACCCTCCACACTGGAGCCCTTGAGAACATTCAGGGTGGGTTGGCATTGAGAGGAGGCCTCTCCTGATGGACACAGGGGCCTCTCAATCCACTCTGAATCTTAGACCTAATGGGCAAAATAGGAAAGGCATGGTTTAATTATTAAGGGAATAAGTGGGAAAGATGAGCAGGTATGATTTCATCAACCACTATGAGGAGATGTAGGGGATACGCTTGAAATAAATTAATTTCTTTTTCTTCCTACTTGATTGCAATTTACTGGGAAGGAATTTGGTGGCTGGATTTTTATATTGTAAAAGGTGATACAGAGGCTTATGATGTTGTACTTATGTGTCAAATGTCTGGCAAGGCCTATGCTGAAGTGAACCCACAAATGTGGACAGTCCAGGGAAAGAGGGAAAATTAGATATGGAGCCTCACCAAATTACTTTGAAGCAACAAGGACAAGAGGTTGCTTGTATTGATTTAAAATCAATACCCTATTCCAAGAGAGGGAAGGAAGGGCTTACAGCTTATTACTGACTCTCTCTTAAAGGCAGGGTTTTGGAGCCAGGGATCTCTCCCTACAACACTCCAGTCAAGAAACTGGATGGATGGACACAAGGAGGAATCACAGAATTTTCAAGTGTTAAAAAGCAGATTAACTGAAGCTCCTGCCCTGGCCCTCCTAGACAGGGAGAAAGAATTTGAATTGTAGGTGGATGTTAAACAGGGCCATGCCGAAGAATTCTTGTGTTAAAATGTTTAACCCAGTGGCCAGAGTGGCCTCAATGTCTGCAGAATTGTGCAGACACACCTCACATGGGAACTGAGGCCTGAAAACTGATGACAACAGGAGGAACTCCTAGAGTTCAAGTCTGGCATCAAGTTAAAGCTCTGACAACCAAAAGAGCCTCTAAATGGATGAGCAGGGCTCGGTTATTACAGTATGAAACTTGTTCAGTGGCACAGGAGGATTCAGAACTGAGGACAGGGCAAGGGTTTAACTCAGCCTCCTGTTTGAACAGCCTGGAGAGGGGCTGGCAAGGAACCCAGGACTGCACTCAAGGGACAGAGCTCCAGACCCAGGCTGGGAGAGATTGATGGGACATTCCCTGGCCTGAGGGACAAAATGTATTTGTGGATGGCTCTGCAAGGGCAGCAGAAGGGAAAAGAGCTACAAGACAGGCTGTTATTAAGGAAGGGGAATCAGACAAAGTGCAGGTCACCGGCCCATGCTCAGCTCAACCCAAGGAGCTCTGGGTGCTTGTAAGAGCCTGGCACTGAAATGCCCTGAGCAGGAAGGCTTCAATATCTTCTGCTGACACCATGGCACCTAACAGGGGGCAAAAGCAATTCTGACTGCTTCAATCTGACTGATGCAATCACTGCATCACTTATTAGGGTATTTCTGAAATAATTAATTCATAGAGAAGGGATTGTGGAAGCAATAGACTCAGAAAGAAGAACTCATTTTACTCGAAAGATCCTTCAGGGGGTTATGGCAGCTTTAGGAATACAATGGGACCTCCATAACCCCTGGCACCCCCTGAGCTCAGGTCAGGAGAAATAAAGAAACACTTTTGGAAGCTGGTGATAAAAACCAAGATGCCGTGGGTACAGCTTTTGCCATTGGCTATGGCAAGAAGAAGAGACAGACCCAGGGCAGATATTCAATTATCTCCCTTGGAATTGATGTCTGGAATTCCTTACCCTTGAAATTCTCCACCTTGTGCAGGGTGGAGATAAGGGATGTATGTTTCAAGCAGTCCGTGGCCAGAATCCTGTCTCTTGTGAAATCTCTCCCACAGGAAGCTGGGCTGGCACAGAGCCTGCCCTGGCACTTTGCTGTTGCCAACACCCAGCCAGGACATCGGCTCCTGCCTAAGGAGTGCAAAGCAGCACCACTGGTGGCCAAGGGGCCCATGCCAAGTGTCCCTGAGGCCAGAAACAGCCGCCAGCACAGCTGAACACGGGGGGACCCCTCAGCCTGGCCTCAAGGGCTCTGAAG